GAAAAAAATAAAAACTGCTTTAGTTCTATTTAGTGGGGCAGTTAAAATTGATACCAACTGGATCTAAAGAACATTTTACACTTGTCCCAGCCTCACTGCTGGATCCATCCACTTTCTTGATTCAGACTTAGTAAAGGTGTTCCTAGTTTACAGTCTTAATATACAATAATAATTCAACAGCTATTTATTAAATGCCTATTGTATTTAGGGTGCTAATATCTCATGGTCCTTGCCTTCATGGAGTTTACTTTTTAGTGTTACAATTACTACTTCACGGGAGGGTCAAGAGTGAAGAGAGGAGACAAAATGGCCCCCAAAGGACCCTTCAGTAGGGATAGGTCACAAGTGGCTATGTACTACCAACTATAGTTTTGCATGGGAGTATTGGGGTTTTTTTTGTGGCTAGGCAACGGGGTCAAGTGACTTGCCCAGGGTCACACAGCTAGTAAGTGTTATGTGTCTGAGGCCGCATTCGAACTCAGGTCCTCCTGAATCCAGGACCGGTGATCTAGCCACTGTGCCACCTAGCTGCCCCCGGGAGTATTGTTTTTTATATTTTGTTGATTTTATATCACCTCTGTTTTTGAATATATTTCGATTACCTTCTCTTGCCCAGAGAATCTTCTCTTGTAACATAGATTTACTAAGAAAAAAGCTTTTAAAAAGTAGTTCAGTAAAACTAGCAGTATATACAGTATTTTGCACCCATAGTTCTCTGTCTCTGAACTGAAGGGAACATACTGCATTTTCTCAACCTTTCGTTGGGTTCAAGCATGGCCTTTTTAACATTTCATTTTTCCAATATCATGTAAAAACAATTTTTAGCCTTCATTTTTTAAAATTTTGAGTTCCAAATTCTCTTTGTCCTTTCCCCTCTTGAGAAAGCAAGCAATTTGATATAATTATATATGTGCAGTTGATGGGGTACTTGGGCCCAAGCCCTAAGATCAATTTCTCAGGAGGCACCTGTGCTGTGAGAAAGTTTTCTCTTGTTGCAGAACACATTCTCTTATTGAAACAGATATGGGGTGCTTGGCCCAAGGATTTTTTGTCCTTGGATGGCTCAAGAACTCTCTTGGTATCAGATCACAGAGTCCATGCCTCTGGCAACTAAACAAACAAACAAAAAAACCCCTGTCTTTTCTCTCTCAATGTCTGTATCTCTGCAAAGTTAGCGCTGTAAAACTCCCTACATTTTCTCATCCATAGATCACTGACACCTGCTGCCAAGACACCTGGACCCCTTAGATTACCTAATTATTCCTTTCCCTGTTCCTTTTCTACATAAGCTTTAGATTCACTCCCATTATATTTCAACTTCCCCAATGGAACTTCACCCGCTACTATTGGCATTAAAATAAACTGTCCCTTGACTAAAAGGCAGCTTGAGTGTGTGGATTCATTCCAGGCAACTCTACCTTGGAATTCTTGGGGTCCTAGCACCCCAACCTCTACCTTAAACCTCTGCACAGTCATGCAAAATGTATCTTCACATTAGTTGTATTGCAAAAGAAATAGAGACCCCCCAAAAAAAAGACAAGAAAAATAAGGAAAGTAAAAAAAAATGCATTGATCTGTATTCATACTCCATCAGTTCTTTCTCTGGAGATGGATAGCATTTTTTTTTAAATCATAAGTCCTTTGGAATTGTCTTGGATTGCTGTATTGCTGAGGATAGCTGAGTCATTCATAGTTGATCATTATACAATATTGCTGTTACTGTGTACAAAGTTCTGGTTCTGCTCACTTCAGTGATCCTCAGTTCAACATAAGTCTTCCCAGGTTTTTCTGAAACCATCCTGCTCGTCATTTCTATAGCACTATAGTGTTCCATCACAATTAAATGCCATAATTTGTTTAGCCATTCCCCAGTTGATGGGCATCCTTTCAATTTCCAATTGTTTGTCACCACAAAAGATCTACTATAACAGTTTTGTACATATGAGTCCTTTTCCTTTTCCTTTGATCTCTTTGGGATACAGACCTAGTAGTGGTATTGCTGGGTTAAAAGGTGTTACTTTGTAAACTTGCCTGAATACCAGAATTCAAAGAGTCCTCAGAATCAATTTGTCTAACTTGTATCTGCACTAGAATTCTCTGTATAAATATTGCTGACAGGTAATCATCAAATTTCCCCTTGAAGAACTCTGCTACTTCCCAAATGCAGCTCATTTACATTTCAATAATTATTGTTAGGAAGTATTTTTTCCTCCATTGAGCCATTTCTCCTCAATTTTTTACAGTTCCATCTAGTCCACCTTGGATCAAGTAGAACAATTCTGGTGAAAGACATTGGAATATGAGTCAGATGGTATCAGTTCAAAACCTGACTATTATATGCTACCTGTGTGAACCTGGGTAAGTGTTTATTATCTCTGAGACTTTGTTTCTGCTTCTGTAAAACAAGAGCATTGGATTAGATGATCTCTGAGATCTCTTCTAGTAATATAACTGCAATTTATTATCCTAAGTCCTTTGCTAAAATAATTAGAAGCTGATCTCATACTCTTTCCACATCCCAGTCTTTTCTTCTTTAAGGCTAAACATTCTCAACTCCTTCAATGGATCTACTATAATCTCCTCACCATTCAAGATTCCCTTTTTGAATGTGCGTTCTCTTGCCAATACATTTTCCTAAAATAAATGCCAAAAGGAGCAAAATATTTTAGATTTGCCTGGCTGTGATTTAAGACCAGGTGGGATATCACCTCCTTCCTTTGAGATCCTATGGCTCTTATTATGGCTTAAATTCACATTAACCTTTTTGTTTGTGTAAGAAGGAAAGCAATTGGGTTGCTTTAAATATTTCAGGGCAGAGGCTGACAGCTCTACTATAGCTCCACCCCACCCCCCCGATACTGTAAGTGAAGGTCCAAGAAAATTCACATGGGCTTGGTTCTAACTGTCAGGACATAATGAAAACTGGAAAAAAATTATTCATTCCAAACTAAATATCAATTGGTTCTGTGGTAATTTCTGTGAATGAAAAATGGAATTGACAAAAAGAACTTAAACATAGGGCTACTTTTGCTTTGTGAGAATGACTATGAGTCTGACTAACAAAAGAACTGACAGAATGTATCAGCATTGCAACAGAGTAAGGAAAAAAATTCCCTTTGAGGAAGAAGAAACTCCCTGGGAGAGGGCATCACCTCAGAGAAGAACCAGTCCAGCAGTCAATGATAGCAGTATCTCAGTGGGGAAGAATTCTGGAAACAGTAGCAGGAGATCTATAGAGAAGCATCTCATTCAGAGGTATAATAAGTAAGGCACAGCAGGATGCTGACAGATTAAGTTTATAGAATTCTGCTATATGTTTCATTTGGAACACAACCCTAGGAATGTGATTCTGGCAACATGAGAATCTGAGTGCGGTTGTGCTACTTTGTGTATGGGAGATTTAAAAAAAAAGATGTTACCTGTTTGCTATTTTATTCTAACAAAATGCCTCTTGTGTTGACCTAATGTGTTATTTGGTGTGGTCTGGCATAGATCACGTTGCTGAGGGATTGCAGTTATAGATGTGAATGGATGCTGACACAAATAGTACCTTGAACCTAAGAAGTAATGAGGATTCCAAAGTCACTTGAAAGGGGTTGTGTTAGATTTGTGGGGTCTTTAAACAATTACTAATGGATTATCATTTTGTTTATTGAATCAAACTGCAAGGCTACGTGCCTACTACAGAGATCTGTTGAAGATAATTTCCTTTTCTTTTTCTTTTTTAAAGTTACAAATTTGATACTGAACTTTTAAAATGAAATTCACTAACATACTGTTATATGTCAACATGTCAATGAAGTTTTGTTGTTTATTACTGGAGTGATATTGTAATACTGTTGTGCATTTTATTTAAATACTGAGTCACTATCATAAATGATTATTAGAAAGACTCAGTAATGAGTCTTGATCCCTTATTTAATCCTTTTATTATTACCCGTTTGAGGAATACCAGGATAAATACAAAATCCTCTGTTTGGTGTACAAAGTCCTTCAAAATCTAGCTCCCATACATTTCCAGGTCTTTTTTTTTTAATGTCTTACCCCCTACCCTTCAATCCAGTGACCCTGGTCTCCTGATATACCAAGAACAAGATGCTCCATCTCTCAGCTCTGGGCATCTGTTTTCCTCTAGCTATCCCCCATGCTTGGAATGCTTTTCCTTCTCATCTCTGCCTCATGTTTTTTTTTAAGTCCCACTTAAAATCTTATCTTCTACGAGAAGCCTTTCCCAACCCCTCTTAATTCTAATGGCTCTTCTCTTTGAATTATTTCCTCTTTATCCTGTACATAGCTTGCTGGTATGTATCTGTTTGCTTATGTCCCTCATTAGATTATGAACTCCTTGAGGGCAGGGACTATCTTTTGTCTTGGCACTAGCTAGTCATAGAAAGTAAACTGTCAGATTATTAGTATAACTACAAAGACTCATTATTGGAAATTCTTGTCCTTTTTTGGGCATTCTTACCCCCCAGAAGAGAAAAACCTTGAATCTTGTCTAGGATATATCACAAAAGTAATATGAAAGTAATAGGGGTCTGATTCCAAATGTAGAAAGGCTAATGGAGAACTTTCGGGGACTCACTTTTAACTTCCTGTGCTTTCCCCCACACAGTTGGGAAGGGGCTGTGGAGACGTGACCTTTGGGTTCTGGAGCTCTTCCCTTCTCAGCAAAGTTACTGAAGACCCAGAAGATCAAATTCTTGCCCCTAAAATCCTTGGCATTTTCAAATGATTCAGTACCAGAAATGGATATAATTATCCACAGAAATGATAAGAAAGAATATGCATTGCCATCTGCCTTGCTCCCGCACTCTAAGGACCATGAGACCTTCCCATCTGATTTGCAGCTGTTGTCTCCCTCAATAGAATGTAAACTCCTTGAAAGTAGGGGCTATCTTACTTTTTGATGGCTTAGGTTAGTATTATGCACATAGCAAGTGATTAACAGATGCTTTTTTAAAAAATTTATTCTAAACAATTCAGAGTCATAGGGCTTGAGTGCATGTAGAGATTGAATGGAAACCATATTGCTACTGAGTACACAGGGATGCATATATCCAATTCCTTAATGTTGCTGACCATGAAAGATAGAAGGTCTTTAACCTTATATTCCACTTGGAAATGTGCCTCTAGAAAGAGTGATAATCAAAGGGGAAATGCCTGAGAAGTACATGAACAATGTCAGATTCATCTAAATGAGCAGGAGTTTGACATGTAATTAATCCTTATAGGTATACTTACCAACAAGGGAAGAACAAGGAAAATGTCTTGGTTTTTCAGAGTTGCTGTGTGTGATGAAGAATCTAGAACTAAAGATAATGGAAAGAAAGAGAGGTTGGAAATGGAAGACAGTGGTTTTGCTAGCTCCAGGACATTAGGTATGGACCATTATAAGCAAAAAGGAAACCAACAGAGATTATTTGAATTCCACTGAAAAAGGTTGAAACAATCCTGCTAGAAGATGGATCAGCATGCAGAGTCATTATTTAAAGAAGGGAAAAGAAACTTGGGACCACAGATAGTCAGCTCACTGCAAGAACAGCATAAACAGAGCACAGCCAAAAAGGCAGGGGTATATTCTTCCTGTGTTCAAGATGGTCACGTGCATGTGTATGTAAAAGAAGAAATTCAGTACTGGTTTGCTAGAAGCAGAAGGCAGATAGATATGTATTAGGAGATAGAGATGGGTTTGGGGACAGGTTCTATCTCAGGTCCTAAAGGCTTTAATATCTGCCTCACCAACCTTGACTAACTGACCAAGGTCAGTCAATAAACATTTATTAGACACCTACTATATGCCAGGCATTGTGATAAACACTGGTTATACCAATATGAAAAAAAAGAAAGACAATCTGTGCCCTCAAGGAGCTTGTGATCTAATGGGGGAAGATAACACCTAAAAGGAAACTGAAAGCAGGAGTTGGGATCAGGGAAGGTACCAACACAGCACATGGTGGAAAAGATAAAGAAGTCCCAAAAGTAGTACAGCGAGGTGAGAATTGAGGAGATGTTCTGATCTGAGTTCTCTCCTTAAATTAGAGGTTCTGGAGTTCGTGGCTCATGCAGCAGTGCTAGTGAGGATTAAAGATGAAGAATATCCTGTTCTGTTGGATAGTGGATCTAGAGTGACAATTGTATTATTTTATGATGGACATTTGCATTATATAACCTTTATAGCAGAGGTTGCAGCCCATCATGAGGCAACCAGATTAAAATGTAATTGGGAAATATTTAAAAAAATAAGTAAAAATGCAATATAGACCCCCAAAAGAGGTCACAAGGAGTCAGACATAACTGAAAAAATGACTAAAGGAAAAAAAGCTAATATGATACCAAAAGAGATTTGTTTCTATTTGAGTTTGACACCACTGCTCTACAGCCTATTAGAAAATGGGTCCCTCTAGACAAAATCCATATTTACCTTATGTTAGGGGGAGCTTAGAGTTCCCTAGGGAAGGTGGAAATGTCAGCAAGATGATGGCCTTGGTGATCCAAACCTGGTAAACATCTCAGGAAGGTCAGCATTGAATGGTACCAACTTCATCTCATTCAAAATACTGAAAGAATATTAAAGGCAGCAAGCTGGAGTATATTACCAGGATACCAAGATAATCCAGAATTCCTTTCCAGAACCTTGTAAGAAGATAGAGGTCAACGTGTTGTCAAAGGGCATCACAGGAGCAATGAACTCTTCATTCAAAGGTTGAATTCAGAATGAATAACTCTCCAATGCCTTAAAAATAATTATATCATCTGAGGAAGAAATGGCACACCAGTGTCGCCCTGTTTTTCTTGTATGAATAATATGGGAAGGAAGTGTTCCTGAGGAAAAACATATATAGTTCATCTCAACTATACCTCATCCTTTAGAGAGCAGTCTCAGAAAATTTCCCTCTCTGAAATGTACAACTTCAGGGACCACCTGATGGAACTCTTAGTCAACCACCTCATTTCATTTCTTTTTTTTTTATTTTTAGGCAATTGGGGTTAAGTGACTTGCCCAGGGTCACACAACTAGTAAGTGTCAAGTGTTTGGTCTGAGGCCAGATTTGAACTCAGGTCCTCCTGACTTCAGGGCCAGTGCTCTATCTACTTTGCCACCTAGCTGACCCTTAACTACCTCATTTCAAAGTCATATTTTTGTAGGCATTACCTATAGTAGTGACACTGATGGACAAAGGAAAGATAGATTCATGTGTGTGAACCTTTTTAAGACTTTGACTAATGGAGCTTAGGTGGATCAAGATAGCATACCTCAAGATAAGATAAATGCTCAAACTGCCAATCAACCTACTGGGAGGATTTGAGATAAGGTGGGCTGTGGAGGGATGGAGAAACTGGAGGATATGATGAATGGAGATCCAGGTATTGGAGTAGTGGACGTGGGGAGGACAAAGCTATTTATCAGAAACTTTGCCATTTTTTTGCCCCCTATTCTGTAGCATGAGTTTTAGAGACACTAGATTACAATCCTTTGACAATATGTGTGATTATGTGTATCTCTATTCATTTGCTAAGTGATTTAATTCAGATTGAAAGTTTGGCTTTAAAAATGCATGTTTCTTGGCTGGTCTGCAAATAAAAATTCAAACTGAGTACAGCTGATTTTTTGGTTTCCAACTGGGTTGGGAAGTCAAACCAAATGAGTTCTTTCAATATAGCCTACATGGAAGCTAATTGTTCACATGAGTTCAGAGTTGAGCAAACCAGCTGGTTTCAAAACAATTAACTTCACAAGTATGATGATGAGGAAATAAGACTGGGATAGCAATGCATCTGAGAAAAAAAAAGATCTAGAGGTTTTAGTGAACCATGAGCTCAACATGAGTTACCAGTAACATATGGTAGCAAATAAAGCTAGTAGGATTTCAAGTGTCCAAGATTAGAGGTGATGATAGTTCTACTGTACTCCATCCTGCCTTGACCTCATACACATATTATATGATTGGCTCTGGGAACCACATTTTAGGGAGGACATTAAAAAATCAGACAGTCTCCAGAGGAAGGCAATCAAGATGATGAAGGGACTCAAGATCATGTCATATGATGATTGATTGAAGGAACTGCAGATATTTTGCCCTTGGTAAGAGGACTCTTAAGGGGGAAAGAATTAACTTTTTGGCCCCTAAAAGCAGAAGTGGGAGCAATGATCAGATATTGAAAAGATGCAAATTTCAGCTTGATGTAAGGAAAATTCAAGTTTTTGAGAAGTGTAATGGGCTGCTTTAGGAGGTAGTTTGCACCTTTGAAGTAGTTTTCCTTAAGCCAAGGTTGGATGACCATTTATAAGGTGTGATATAGAGTTTAGTTTTTTTTGTTCAGGTAAGATTCAGACTCGATAACTTTAGAAGTCCTTTCCAACTCTAAAGATTTTGTGATTTTTGTGAATGATGATTCCGATTCTTGAATATTAGAATTTGGGTAACTTGGAAGATGGTTGATATTATTGACACAAGTAGTACAATGGATAAATTAGGAAGAGGAGCAGGGTTTTGGGGGGAAGACAGTGAGTTGGTCATAAGGGATCTTCTTGATGTTTTTACTCTAGTTAATCACTTTTAGGCTGGCTTTTGGGAACTTGACTTTTAGTGTACCCTTTTTCTTTTGAATTGCATGTCAGCTGCTAGGGCTGATGTGATGACAGCTTGGGAAAGTAGAGAGGCTTTCTGTTTTGGATGCAAAAGAATTACCATCAAGTTATGGTGTAACTGTGCATGTTATAGGAATATTTACAATGGGAAAAAAGGCAGCAAAATAGACATTTTTGAATTAGTTTCTCAAAGAGCCAGTAAGAATCTTTGAGTTTCCCCAAATGTCTTCCCAAACATGCTTGAGAAAATCTTTTTTTGAATTGCAAGACTTTCTAAAATTGTTTTTTTTTCTTGTTTGGGGGCAATAAAAATAACACTAGATTGTGAAAAAGTAAGACAAAAGTTTTGAATAAGTCAAGGGTAGAAAGGGTCTTGCAATATATTGCAGGGTGGCAACAGATTGTGGAGAGCCTTAAAAGCCAAGTAAAAGAGTTTGATCTGTGAAGATATTTTGAGCAAAGGGATATCAACTGCTTCTGACACATCTTGGTTGTGTGATCCTGGACAAGTCATTTAATAGCTTGGTGCTCTTAACAACTCTCTAAAACCATGAGTTCAAAAGAAGGTGCCAACCTGCATTGGTATGAGGAGTTTCCTTATCCAGAAATTTCCTAGAGGAGTGCAATTATTATTCTAGTCCCTATCCCTGTAACAAGATCACATCAGTGCATAAAGATTATTCTGACTCTCCACAATCTTAACTCTGTTTCTGCCGCTAAATTGCTGTATGGCTTTGGGTAAATCACTTAATACCTCCAGTTTTCTCATCAATCTAATAAGATTGGCTTAGATGATACCTAAGGTCCTAAGTTTTTACATTCTATGATATGCTCTCTAGTACATTGTATCAAATTATGTACAATTTATTGTAATTAGGTATTCTCTTAATCCATTTATGGACATGTTAGAAATCCTATACTGTGCAGATATGTTGAAGCTGAGTGAATATGATGCTTGTAATCATTTCTATTAAAAGTGGCATGTGAAATCATTGGTCAAGAATGTGGGTACCTGTTACATTATCTTCATATTGGTAAATCAGATTTGACTTACAACATTTAAAATTTTAATGCCTTCTCCAGGAATCCCAACTCCCCTGTTTCAGCGAATTGAGGGGAGTGAGTGAAAGAGCAGCCTTGATAGCTCCCAGGAATAACTAGATTGAATCCCTGACTAGAAGAGTAGAAGCATGGGTTGAGGTAGCTGGTTAATGGATCAAGGCCAATACCCTGGGAGTGAGTCTATGTAGGCTCATCAAGGATGAGATGTCAAGATAGGTTCTGCCTTATGGGAACCTGAAGCCTTTTCCCCTGGACATAGAAAAGTCTGTCAATATTCAGTTTATTTTTTATAAACAATATGTCTGGATGTACTAATAAGTACATCTAGTTGGGAAGAGTCAGTTGGAGGAGGAGGATCTCTGGAGAAGAAAGATAGATTTTACACTGAAGTGTTTTGCCAGAACATTGTCCCTAGTGGTAGGGGAGAAGTAGAGGTGTATCAAAACCCCTTTCTTAATTCAACTGAAAATATTAAGAGATCCAAATCAAAAATTTTTTCAGAATTTTCCCTTTAGGAAAGTGGATAGGATAAAAGTTAAGACTTTCTTTTAGGAAAACGGATTTTAAGGGCAATAACCAAACTTATTTTTTTTTGGTTCTGTTTGGATATTAGTCTTTGCCATTCCCTGAAGTCATTGGCCTCTTGTGACCAGTCTCAGGGACTTATTCAGAAAGGATTGTGATATTGATTGCAAGAAGAAGGCCTTCTCATTTCTTGGGTCAAGGAAGAAATTAAATAGAGACTGTTGTTCTGAAATGTCAATCCCAAACTGTATTTTACTAATGTACTATATAGTTTAATATGTTATAATCTTTTCCTTGTTCAAGATTATACACATTATAAATGTTACTTCAATTTGTCTTTGGATAGAGAGACATGTCTGATGGCATGGGACGGAATGGCATGTGATTGGTTTGGACATTTTCTCTCTCTCTCTCTCTCCCTCCTAGAAATGCTTGTATATTCAATTAAACTTAATAAATATGCCCAGAACACAGAAGACAACATTAATCATTTTTCTTTGACAGACCTTGTAGAGGACAAGGCAGATAGACAGTCAGAGACAGAGACTCAGAGACAGATAGGCAGAAATCCAGATCTGAACAGAAAGAAACAGAGAGAAAAAGAGAGAGAAAGAGAGAGAAGAGAGTTAATTGTAGAACCTTTTGTACAACTTCCTGGATCAAAGAAAGAGCATTTAGATTAGATTTATATAGGCAATGAACCAGTAGTAGGGTGAGGGGAGCAAATAGGAGTGGTTGAACAATCCTTCCCAACATTCCATTTCAACACTGGTTGTATTTTCTTTCATATAATTGTTCAAGCAATATTTGTTGATTGATTGATATTTGTTAGTTAATCCATTGGAGAAAATCCACCTTTTATCACTGGATGAATTAAGTAGTGAGAATGGATATTTCTGGTTAAGTCAAATGAATCTGTGTGGGCATTAATTAAACATTCAATCAATCAATAAACACCAAGGATCCCCAGAGACCAGGCAAGTAGGGATATAGTGCCCACTTTCTCTTTTGGCAGTGTTTGCCCTGCCCAGTTCCCAGTTTTTCAACCCCATACTGCTATAGGTAGTAGAGAAGTATGAGTTTTGCTTCAAATTCAGGGACAACTATGTTTAGTACACTTGGACTGTTTATAATATTTGTGGTCAGTGAATAAGTTTTATGGGCCCAAAGACTGCTTGAGAAACACACCATTGCTCAGGGCAGCTTTTTGCCTATGGCTCTCCTTAGGGCATCCTTGACTTCCTTATTTCTCAGACTGTACACAACAGGGTTCAACAATGGTGTGATGAGGGTGTAAGTAATGGAGAGTAATCTGTCTTCTTCGATTGAATTCTCTGATTTGGGCTTGAGATAGGCAATGGAGGCACAGCCATAGTGGACAATGACCACTGTGAGGTGGGAGGCACAAGTGGCAAAGGTCTTTTTCCGCCCCTCAGCTGAGGCGATTTTGAGGATGGCAGAGATAATGAGGATGTAGGAGATAAAGACTAAGCCCACAGGCACCAGGATCACTCCTGAGCTGACAACAAAGTTGATGAACTCATTGACTGTGGTATCTATACAGGCAAGCTTCATCATGGGGCGAATGTCACAGTAGAAATGGGCCACCTCTGCTTCACAGAAAGGCAAGCTGAATATGGATGTCACCTGTACAGATGCCATGGTCAGACCAATGGCACATGCCCCACCCACTAAGTAGGTGCATACCTTTTTATTCATGACAATCATATATGTCAAGGGGTTGCAAATGGCCATGTAGCGGTCATACCCCATTGCTGTGAGCAGGAAGCAGTTGTTGATGGCCAAAGTGACAAAGAAGAACATTTGAGTGGCACAGCCTTCCAGTGAAATTGGCTGGTTCCATCCTGTGAGGCTGGACAACATCCTTGGGATGATGACCAGTGTGTACAAAGTCTCAGAAGTGGACAAGATGCTCAGGAAGAAGTACATGGGGGTGTGGAGATGGCGGTCAATGCAGATAATGGTCACAATGATGACATTGCTGGCCAGGGTTATGATGTACAAAGTGAGGAACACTACAAAGAGTGTGATCTGGTGTTCATGGAAGCTGAAGAATCCTTGGAAGGTGAACATGGTCACCTGTGTGTGGTTCTTTCTATGCATTGGGAAATCCTATGGTCTGAAAGTAATGAAGAGAGTCAGCATGGGGGTTTTCATTCTCAAATGGACTTTAACTTAAAGGAAAAGAAATAAGGACAGTGTCAACCACAATGTTCTCAGTAATCTCCTTATGGCCAGGAAGTTTCTTGCAAAGGAGTGAAATCATTCACCTAATCCCTTCCTATTCTTCTTATTGGCCTGGGGTTTAAGAATGAGCCTCCTCTGAGACACAGCAAATTCCTTTTAAAAGTTAATCATGTATAACAACGACAACAACAACAGTAATAATTCCCCCATTAGATTGTAAGCTCCTTAAGGACACTCTTTTTTTTTTTTATCCCCAGTGCTTAGCACAGTGCCTGGCACATAGTAGGAACTTAATAAATCTTTATTGATTGATTGATAATGAATAATAATAGCTAGCATTAATATAATACTTTAATGTTTGCAAAGCATTTTATGCAAATTATCTCATTTGATCCTCACAACAATCTTTTGAAGTAGGTACTATTATCACACTCATTTTATGGATGAAAAAACTGAGTCACAGAGAGGTGAAGTGGTCACATGACCAGTAAGAATCTAAGGCAGGACTTTAACCCAGGTATTTCTGGTTCCAAGTCGAGCACTCTCTCCACTGTACTACCTAGCTGCTTGGATGAAGTATGACTATATATCATGGCATGTTTTCTGAGCATTTCTGTGCAGTTTCATGTGTAGACATCTTTTTTAGTATTCTGCATTGTGGGAATGCCTTTCCTCCTGCCATATTTAAGTCATCAAAAGGTCTTTCAGTTCATGTATTCATATCTTTCTCCTTGTTTCTACTCATCCCATCTGTATTCAGGATAATCCAGAAGAGAGGTGATGAGATTCAATGTGTCTCCACTCAGTAACTTAATCTTTCACTTAAGAAAAACTTATTTAATTTGCGAAGTTTAAACTTACAAACATAATTATCATTTTAAAGAATTGTAACATTTTACCCACTATCTTGTTCTCCTTACTCCTTCTTGTCTGTGGGAGTGGCCCAGTGCCCTTGACAACTAAAATCTTAAACTCAATGTCCCATTTTCCAGGCTCAGCAGGTGCCATTCCTACCCTTTCCCCACCAAGTGCTTCCTACTTAGGGTATCAGTCACCAAACATTTATCAGCTAATGATTTGTTTTCTTGGTTCTATGCTAAGCATTGTGCTAGATCTGAAGATACAAAGAAAAAAATGAAATGATCCCGCCCTCAAAGAACTTCTATTAGGGGAAGATATGTACTTTTAAAAGTATAGACATAACTTACACCAAAATATCCCCAGATGACTCCTGGAGGTGTGATATCAATTTAGTCATTAGCGTGCTTATTGTTTGTGAATTGAGTTATAGGAATCTATAAAAAAGAGAAATAATGAATATGTTGGAGTAGCCTTCCAGAGCTTGTTGTACAAAGGGACACTGCCCCCTCAACTGAAGCCTTGTACCATTATTCCAACACACCTTGATTATTTCTCCCTGGTATAGGCTCCTATAAGACTTGGACTCAGGGCCAGCCACAGGCTTGGCATTAATTCTGTTCTGTGCTGGGTTAGTTCTCTTTGTCACATGCATACATCTTGTTATTGCAAGCAGATTCTAAGTGCCTTCAGGGTCAAGATTGTATCTTAGACTTTACATATATTTTCTATAGTGGCTAGAACAGTTCTGGGCACATAGTATTTTGATTGATGAACAAATCATGCATGTAATAAACAGATGCTGCTGCAAATCTTTCCCAGCTGGATCCATAAGCAACAAACATGCTGAAGACAGGGTAGCAAATTCAAGGTGGGTTTTGTTTTTTTAGTGTTTTTTAATTTTTAAAAATATCATGGGGAATTTTTGCACATTTGTTTTACATTGTAGTGGCTATTTGCTGTTCTTTGAGGGGGGAGGAAAGAGTTAGAGGTCTGCCTCATGGAGCTTTTGTGGTCACGAGGTGGATTCTCACAGCAGGCAGCTTGGAAGGCCACCCTGGGCTTTCCCTATATGGCCCGTATTCATAGCAATCAGAAATGAGGGATTTTCCTTGTGCATTATCTTTTGACATACTGAGGCAAGGTAACAACTTATTTTTAATTTCCTAAGTTTTTTGTATTACCTGAAAGGAATATGTTTTCTCTTTTCTGTAGGCATGAAAATAATGGGAATATCCTAGGTACTTTGGCTAACAATAATAGCTGTTAATTATATACACTGACATATATGATTCTCTATGCTTCTAACAATACAAGCCTGGTCTGAGCATGGGTGGCGGGGGGGGGGGTTAAGCAGCTGACATACTTTACCCTCATAAGCTTTCGTATAAACTAGTTCTTTTTAAATGGTTATTGGCATTCTCTGAAATTGTGTTTGGTCTGTCTACTGTTGCTAAAGGCTATCATCACTAGCCTGCTGAGAGAACTTACTGCACTCATAGACAGCCTGGTTCATAGTAGGTGCTTAATAAATACTTACAGATAGGTTGGTTAGCTCACACTGTTTTTTATATATATATATATATATATGTATATATATATACATATATATGAAATTATATATATAAATATATATATAATTATATATATATATGTATTACATGTATATGCATATAACTACTTCTTGCAGTAAAATCTGGGGAAAGAGGGAAAATCATAGGATTATAGATTTACAATGGGAAGAGATTTTAGAGATCATTTAGTCCTAACTTCTCATCTTACAAATGAAGAAACAGACTTAGGTTGTGACTTGCCCAAGGTCACATAACTAATGTCATAGGTGAGATTGGATTCCATGTCTTTTTTAGCTACAAGTACAATACTTACTCTACTATGAGTGAGGATTAAGTATGAATGCTGATTCCATACTAGATAGTGACCAGAAGGGGTACCTTCACATGGTGGGCAGAAAAATGCTTATGATAATAAAGATGTTGATAATCACTGACATTTAGATAGTACTTTAAATTTTACAAAGACCTTTGCTTATATTATCATATTTGAAGCTTATTACAATTCTATGAGGTTAGGACTACAGGCATTTTTATCTTCAGTTGTGAGCCAGGAAACTGAAACTCAGAATAGATGGGAAGGAAAGATGCTTCATCTGCACCTGGGTAGATTTAAGCCAAATATTAGGCCATAGGAAGTCTTTTAGCTCTGGCATTGTAGAAGAATGTTTCTTCGGGAATTTGAGATGCAATAAGATAAGCAGTTTCATCACAAGAGACTCTTCTGGGAGTCTTTAGTACAATGGAATCTGAAAACCATACTGTTGGTCTTACTAATTTAGGGAAATGAAGACCCTGTAAACTACAGAATGAATTATTAGAAATCTGGCACTTAGGTAGCAATATCCTGATTAAAGGTCAGGGTTCTGTTAATAGAGTAATATTGGAAATAACCTTAAGTCATGACCAAAGACTTGAGATTATTTACATGTGACAGGCATGGTGGGGGATGAGAACTATGGCTAAGAGATTTTGTAGCATATAAATGAGCTCAGGTAACAAAACTGTGACAAGTAATTTTGTCATCTGGTTCAAGTCACAGAATAAGACACTTTTGCAGGATGAAAGATTTAGAGTTGGAAGGGATTTTAGAGGTCATCTAGTCCAACCTGTCATTTTACAGATAAAGAAACTAAATCCCAGAAAGTGAAATGATTTACCTATTGTCATATAGTTAGTGGCAAAGCCACATTAAAATACAAATTCTAACTCCAACAGTTAGTATAGTGCCTGGCAAATAGTAGGTGCTTAATAAATGCTTATTGACTGACTGACTGCACTGCACCATGATGGTTCCCTGCACCAATGCAGGAGAAATAGTTCATGGTGATATTTAAAAAAAAATTTCATTTAATTTTTAATTTGTGGAATAAAATAAGCATTTCTATAATGTAGAATAATAAAAAATATGATTGCACATGAAACTGCACATCTATTATGTACAACTTGCCATTCTTTTTAAATGTATAATAAAGTTATTGTGTAAATTTGTTTTTTTCCTTTTTTTTCTTCCCTCCCCACCTTGGCCCCTCCCTAGAGATGGCTACCATTAGGAGGAGACTATAGGTACCCAGAGCCCATTGTTGGAAATACTAATGACGGAATTAGAAGCAAGGTAGGCCCAGACCAGGGAAGAATCTGGGCTGTAGCATCTAGTGGAATGAAGTCAACAATCTACTATTTTTCTTTTTTTTTTTTACTAATTATTTTCACAAACCAGCTCTTAACTGAGAGGTACTGTGTTGTAGTGTAATGGTATCAAACTCAAACAGAAACAGATCCCTGTTTGCTTAGAGCATCACAAATTAACATTATCTATGTTGTATTTTTATTTATTTTTAAAACATTTCCCAGTTACATTTTAATCTGGTTTGGGCCCTACTCAGGAGTTTTGTAGCCAAACTTGATACATCTTTTGTAATGGTTGACTCCTGGTAACAAGAAGACCTGGGTTAAAGTATTATTTCTGATTGTGTGACCATGGAAAAGTCACTAAACCTCTCATTTCTCCCAAACAACTAAGATTGTAAGTTACAGATGAATTGATATTGTATATCAGTGGAGAGAAGTTCTGGGAAAAAGGGTTCCTGATGCTGAAGAAATCACAGCATAGACTTGGAAAAACAATGTCTCCTTCCTCTCCCAACTGAAATGCTAAACTCGGTTATTTTTATTTGTTGAAAAAGAAGTGTAGTCATTTCCCTCTACATTTTGGAGTCATAGAGCAAAGTCTGAGTATGTGACCTAGAGGTGATTCTTCAAATTCATCAAATAAAAGCAATAGTTTGGTTTGGGGTTCAGACCAAAGACATGAATACAAGAGAATTAAGTTGAGGGAAGACACAATCATCTGGGAAAGTTACTTAATCTCTCGGGTCCTCCATTTCCTCATTTCTAAAATGAGACATTTTTTACCAGATGCTAACAATCTATGGATGTATAGCATACTTTTAAAATCTTTCCTTTAAGACCTTAAAAGGGTTATTGTACAACAGA